GCCCATTATTGTCCTCAGTGTTTGTACTTGAACCTTGCCGTACACTGTTCTCTTCTCTACATTCAACTTAAATTGCACGTCTTTTTGTTATTTTGTTCCTGTTTTCTTTAGTTATTTTTCATCATTATCTAAAGTGAGAGCCTAATGATAGTTGTAATAGTTGGTGCTGTATGTGGTACAGATGGCAAAGCCTCTTGAGGCAAATGAACAATTAGTGCACTGATAGCAAAACAAGGCAATTTTGGCCTCATTTTTTTAGGTTAATGATTTTAAAAGTCAAGCTTTTTCACCATGTTTTATTATAAATTAACTTAATTGTTTTCAGTTAAGGAGTTATGTTTTACTAACCTCATGTTATTAAGTTAACCTAAAAAACAATTATAGAATAGAATAGCCCTTTATTGGCGATGTACATGTACAATACCATTATGGATAAGTAACCTAACCTTGATATGTTTTAGTCCCTTTTGTGCAAAGGCCCACGGCATCAGGATCTGCAAAATTGTAATTTTTTTAATTCAAAGTTTAATTCACAACATTGTACTTTTGAACTGAGCCAAACTTCATTCTCACCAACACGGCAGGTCATCAACCCTGCAGCTCACTTCCCTTAGAGTATCACAGCTGTAACAATCTAACATGAAAGTAAATGAAACACAACCTCGATGCTTTAACAGTAACAGTAACAAACATCAGAAACAATGTCGTATTACATAACATGCTTAATATTTCAGCTCTCTTTGCTGACACACTCATTCATGTCTGGGCTTATTAAAGCACAGACTACAGCTGACAAACAGGTGTCGGTTTCCTTCCTAGTCTCGTTTTTGATCGTATGTACAATCGTTTCTATTTATCATGCATAATTTTGAGCAGCTGCACATTATTACTTTCCTATGATCCTTCATCACGTGCACTAACTGAATATCAGAATGCACACATTCAGATTGAAATAATAGAAATGAGTACAGTGAAGTTGTACTTTGTGCTGCTTCCTAACCCTAAAATAGTCGAATGTAATCATAAATCTATTCAATAATTTATAAATAAAATTATATAAGTTAAGTAAGAGACAATGATTTATAATTGTCAGAAGTGCTCCTTCAACTATGTCTTTTTTCACTGTGCTTGTAAACCTCCTTTGACAATAAACAGTTGCCCATGATGATGCATTTGCGCACGTGTGTGCTAATCTTTGTCTCCTGTGGTCTGTTGTCAAGGTCTGGGCATGGAGAACATTGGGGGCATCTTCGTTGTGCTGATCTGTGGCCTCATTATCGCTGTGTTTGTGGCCATTATGGAGTTTGTGTGGTCGACACGCCGCTCGGCAGAGACTGATGAGGTATGCCCCCATACCTGCCCTCGCCGACCCCACAGACACACCCCAGTAGGTTCCCATGGCATCCCGCCATCCCTTTTGATTATATTATTTGGTGTGTGTCCCTGTGTTGTGTTCGTGTGTGTGTGAGAAAGAGAATGGATGGGTTACTTTTTCAGCTTTTGCCTCCATTTGTATGTGTTTGTTTGTGCCGTAACATTCAAGGTTCACTGTGTTTTGTGCATGTGAGATGAGAGGAATGTTTAAGTACGTGGCTCTGACCTGCTGTAGCGTTCGAATTTTACGACAGCTAGAGAATCTGATTGCATGTTCTGCCTGTTTTGATTTCACTGTGCCCTTTTAGTGTTCGGTGTTTAACAGTATGGCAGCAAGTGTTTGTGAGCTAAACATGATAGTTGGATAAGCAATATTGTGAAATGCCAATATTTGCTTGCATAAAGAAGTAGTGTGAACTTTTTTCCCTGGCATTAAATGTCATGATGTATCTTCTTTTACATGCCTCACATGTACGCTGGTATTCTTCGTTTCCATTGTTGTGTGTATTGCTTCTCACTCATGTCATTGTGCGTCTCCCTCTCTCAAACGCACACACCCACACACACACACACCCACACACACACACTCTCCTCCTGTCATACGGCCATCAGTGTGTGTTCTCCAATAACGAGTACTGTTTCTGTTTATGTGAGCACATGACTTTTTATAAATCATGCTTTCATTGAGAATGTGGTTGGCCTGTAGTGGACACGTTGATGCATTTTGGTAGTCATGTGTGCGTATCGCAGTAGTCATGCAGCTGGAATGATGATGGTGGATGTGAAAGTTTGGTTTAGAATGTGTTTATGTGTGTGTGTGTGTGTGTTTGAGGCTGTGCACAGTTGCTGTACGAGTGAATGCTTCTGTATTTGTGCGCCTGAGTGTGCCGGCCTGCCTGTCCGTTCATGGTGCCATAATGAAGTGCCCATAAACTAAACATTTTGCTGTTCCGTGTGTTTGGATTGTAATAACTCTCTCTGCTTCTTGGATATTCTCCCATCTCTATCCATCCACACATCCTTCCTATGACCTCTCCATTTATTTTCAAACCATCTTTCCATTTGTTGGTCTCTGCGCCCTCGCTTCTCCTGCTCCTTTTTGTTTACCATGCCCACTGTGTCTGTTCTGCCTTGTTGCCGGCTTGTTCTTTTTGTTTTGCTTTTCCTTTCAATTTTCTTGTTCTCCCTCCGCTCTTCTATTTATGTACTGCCTTACCACTTGTCTTGTTCTGCTGCCTGCCTACTTTGTGTCTATGGCACCTCCTCCCCTGCCTTTGCCTCCTTTCCTCTTCCTTCCCTTCCGTCTTTCTTCTTTCCTCCCTCCTTCCGTACGTCCTTTAGGTGTCTGTCTGTCAGGAGATGATCACAGAGTTCCGAAACGCCGTCTCCTGTAAAAAGAGCTCTCGAATGCGCCGCAGACGGCCCCTGAGCAGCTCAGCAGCCTTGCGTCACCCTACCCGCATTGCTCTGGGGGCCCCTCGGCCCCTGCGCCTGGTCCGGGAGATGCGGCTCAGCAACGGCAAGCTGTACAGCGGAGCTGGCCCCCTGACAGGTGGAGCTGGAGGGGGAGCCGGAGGAACGGGGCAGCCAGATCTGGGCCCTGGGCCCCAAAGGATCCTAGATGATCCGCTTGGAGCCAACACCACCCCACCTCCACCTGCCCCCACCCCTGTGATGCTGCCTGCGCGCAGCTGCACTCACGTGAGGATCTGCCAGGAGTGCCGCAGGATCCAGAGCCTGAGATCAGGTAGCAGTATAGGATCAGCGTCAACAAGAATACCCCCTTCATCCGCCCCCCTGCCCCGGATACCTCCACCCCCACCCCCATCCTCGTCCAATACAGACAGTGAGGGTGGAGGCGTGCCCAGCCCAAGGCGACTACATCACAGCCCCCCAGCTCATACCCCTCGACCCATTCCACCTCCGCAGAGCAGCAACACCTCAGACCTTCTTGGGGACCAGGACTGAGGAACGAAGCGGGTGAGGTAGAGGGGTGAGATATATGGGTGAGGGACATTTGTGCTGCTTAGAAAAAAACACTGTTTCCACTGATCAGATTCATCCGAGAACTAAAATGTTTGAGATGAGGGAACAAAGGAGTAAAAAAAAAAAAAGAAAAAAAAAGAAAAAGGAGTTGAACTCATGATAAGGCCAGCCAACACGGAGAGAGAACGAGAAGAAACATGGGGGACCAAGACTTCATCCACTTCAGAACTGAAGACACAGAGAGGTGGTCATCGGTTAAGTGTTTGCATTTGGCTAAGAAGAACAGTTCAGTTTGGATAAAAGAGAGAGGAGATGCACATGACCACGCGTCAGTGCCCGCTGGCCTCCTTTTGTCTCCTTACTCCCCTCTCATGTCACTTCTCATTTGAGGGTCCTGGTTTTCTTTCACGGACACTTCACTGGAAGCTAACCAGCCCTTTACTGAAATGAAGCCTTGCTGGTGGACATACTGTATCTGTATGTGGTTTTAAAACAGCAACTGACTTCCAGAGAATTTATTCCTGATGTTTTTTTTCTGTTGTCTTTTTGTTACCATTGTTCTAAGTGGGAATTTCAGAGTTAAAAAAACAGACTACGTGTGACAATATGGTGGATTATAACATACCAAGACACTTGACAACAGCTAATTGTGTTCGAGAGTTTTGTGCCCCTCCCTGTGCCCCATAGCTGCTTTTTGGATGGGATCGGGGAAGCTGGATGAAGCGACTTCAAGGCAACGTAATGCAAACGGTAGCAGAGAAAACTGTTGGTCTGCCTTTCTTTACACTGTGTGTGCGTGTGTGTGTAAAATTTGTGCTTCCTGTAAGTCTGTCCGTAACTGCTCAAAACGAGGAGAACCGTGTACCCAGCAACAGCTTCTTTCTACCAATGTTAGATATTCAGACAGACACAAAAAGGGAGAGAGAGGGAGCGAATGAGCGAGCGAGCAAGAGGCTTTGAAATGTGAAATTAATGTCCCTCGTTATCCTGGGTAACGCTTGCCAAGCCCTTACTTCTTTTTCACCTCTGTTCACACCATGTAGACAAGATAGAGAGACTGGGCGAGTCAGAGACAGAGAGGCAAGATAGAGACGAGCAGGAAAAGAGGAGGTGGAAAGAGCCAGAGAGTTAAAAAAGGACACTACTGAATTTGAATAAGAATTCCCTCACTGAACTACTTCCATTATTAGATCTGTCCTGATCTGTTAATTCTGGGCATCTTTTAAGGGGCTTGTTAATGCGCCAGCAGACTATAAATGCGGCTTCCTCCCATCTCTCTGTTCGACAGGCTATCTTGGCCGTCCACAGCAGCGGCTCCTGCCAGTATGATAGACTCAACACAGCCTTGTCAATACCGTCTCAAGCTTTTGATCACCTAATTACTCCCCTCAGTGGCTGGGGACCCATTCAGGAGGGGGTCGAATGCAGGGAAACGCGCTGATAAATAGATAGAAGAAATGTTTTTTCTCTCTGGCTGGGAAGCGAATCTGTTTTAATTATGTTGTTAATGTTATAGCCTTACAGTTTTGTGAAACTCCAATGAAAACAGACTCTAGTGTACAAGCAAAGTGTGCCTAAAGGGAGAAATACTGGTGGGTTTGCATGTTTTTGCCCTTCTGCTTTAAAACTTGTTTAGTTTTTGCTCAACATACAAGACCTTTTTAGACCAGCTTCAACAACTGTGGCACAAAATACATTACATACAACAGTTATCAGTCTGGATTTTTTAATTGTCAACAAATTGCAGTTCAAGTAGGGGACATGTTCCTTTGTATCGACCCTGTTAAATACTGACTGCAACAACCAGTGCCTGAAAATAGTCCCCCATTAAATATAGCCTTTACTATTCTTTCTCCAACATCTGCTAAAAACTGCAGTTCCCAGCTGTGTTGCTTTTTTAAAATGGGACTGCACTCCGTGTTTCAGCGGGAATATAGACATTGTTTACAAATCCTCCATCTTCCTCTGTTTGTGGGCACTACCGTCGTCGTATTCACTCAGATGCAGTGTAGTGCTCGGCCTGTTGTGGTCTAATGGAGAAAAAAAAAATCAGACCAGCTTTATGTCAGCAGTAAATCCAATTATTTACATGAATGCGAGAGAGGCAGCAGGCGTGTTGTTCTCCTTAGATCAAATATAGGCGTAATTAATTTTACACGCTGCCGCGGTAAAGCGTATGTATACCTCTGCCGAACAGTTCATGTTATGTTTGCATGATTAATGCAGACATATTACTCAGAATGTTAATGTTCCATTATTATCATGTGCAGCATTTGCATTTTCTACAGGTCACTGACTCGATGTGCATTGAACCTGTTGCCCAGTCAGTTCCCAAATTAATCCCTGCTGAATGATTCTCTACTTAGTGGACTGGGGGCGTTCGATACACCCACTTAGTTGTGGTTAGTGTACTTACAGTGACAGTTGTAATAAAGTCTTTCTGGAACACCGACATTCCAGATGTAAGAGTTGGAAAATGCAACGGTTATAGTATAAGACAGCGTCTGTGTTTTGTTATTGGGTTTCTTCACAGATTGATTTCCTGACAGAGTTTATGAATGTAATGCTTTAGAAGCGGATTCCTAATTATTGGAAAACACAGTGTCCCCGCTCCCTGCCCGCATCAGTTTCTTTCTTTTTTGTCTCCCTCTTGCCCGTAGTTTGGAATTGCCGTTTTCCAACGTAAAGATGTGTCCCCTATTATCTTCCAAATCCCAACTGCAGCATCCCATAACCAGCAGTAATGCTAAGTGTGTAAGATAATGTGCAAAGCCACCAGTTCACCCTTTACAAATCCCTCAGAAAAATGAAGGCATTGTTGTCTAGACTAACACTGCATTGCTATATAATGTTATGCATTTTGTGGGGAAGCAGGTTTGTTGACACTGTTGTGCTCCAGATAACGAATGATAACATTGTTTGCACACATTATGCCGTTTCTCTGAATGATTGCTGTCAGAAGAAGCAGGCTTGATTTGATGCCTCTCTCTCTTTCTCTCTGTTTACTTCTGCCTTTGTGTCCAGAATGCTGACAGGAGCGAACCTTTTTCACAAATCTTTACAGCACACACAAACAAAAACACACTCATCCGCAACGCCTTCGTCTCCGATTCCTTTGTTGTCTAAAGGCTGTAAACCCACCGGTTGTTTGTTGTTTTCAAAGTTGTCTTCTGAGTTTCTTTAATGACTTCCATGGTTCATACAAGCTCCGGAAACCTGATGTGTGACAGTACCACACAGCCATCAAGTGGCCACAAACAGCTTTAAACCATCAGCTGAAAGCATTTACAAGCTGCAGTGCATTACCGTGGAGAAGCGAGAGGAAGGTACAAGCCCTAAAAAATACATTCAAAAAAAAAAAAAAAAAAAGCCAAAATATTGCTAGTATTAATCTAAATGGGAAGGGAGGGTCACAAAACAGATCCAATGGGATGTCTGAACATTCACTCCACGAAACAAACATTTGTTTACTTTTATGTTGTTTTCTTTGGTATTTTTTCATATTTCTATACTAGTGCTAAATGGATTATTAAAACTAATGACTATTATGATGAAATTGTTATTATTACTATTGAAGACAAGAGGCTCTGTGGTGTGCGTGTGGGTGAAGGGTGGAGGATGGGAGGTGTTGGGATGAAGGTGAAATGATGTTCTTCAGAGACCGCCCTGTTGTTCAAACCTATAGACACACAGACTTCTTTTGGAATAAAAACATTCAAACAGTCTCACAGTGGTACGTGTCTTTGCTTTTTTTTAATAGAAAGCTCACTGATGTCATGTCTTTATTCTAATAGAGGGATGAAGTGATTTAGTTAAGGGACAGATTTAAGAAACAAACAACTCTTTCAGTCATTTAGGCCCTCAATGTCAATAAATACACAGTAATGTGAAAAAAGAGAGTCTTGATAGGATGATATCCTGTGAAAAGTACAAAAAGTACAACCAGTGATTCAGTAGTTTGCAGAACTACTTTCAGCAGCAATAACCTCAAGTAATTGTTTTCTCTTTGAAGTTATTCTTTAAAGCATTACTTCTGTTCATTGAGGTTTGCAGACATTGGTCCCTGCACAGCTTAAGATCAGTCATGTTGAGGTCTGGACTCTGACCATTGCAACCTCGATTCTTTTCTTTTTTTAGCTTTTCTGTTGTAGATTTGCTGTGCTTGGGATTATGTCCTGTTCTTTATAGAGAGCAGAGGCTGGCTTTCTCCTGGCAACCCTTCAAAACAAGCCATATTTCTTCTGCTTTTTTCTAATTGTACTGTCATGAACTTTAACATTTAAAATGCCCACTGAGGCCTGTAGAGTCTGAGAGGTAGCTCTTGGGTTTTTGGTTTTATGTAATATCTCTGAGCATTGCAGAGTGTGATCTTGGGGTGAATTTGCTGTGACATCCACTCCCGGAGAGATTGTAGCACTGTGTTAACACACACCTGAATGCTCCAGACCAGCAAACTGCTAAAACCTCTGCTTTTGTAGAGGTGCTCACACTTGCTGATGATCACTTAATCAAGCTGATTTGATTAGCACCTCCTGGCTGCTACCTACCCTGTTAATTCTCATGTAAACACTAAGGGTGTAGTTCGTTTTTCATAGCGCTGCATAGAGGCCAGTGAAAACTTTCTTTTTCACATGCCTGTGTGACACAACACCTTCTGATGCTGGTTTTATTAAATATTTTGACCAAACTGAAGACCTTATATGTACTTT